ATATATTTAGTTTTTAATAAACGTACAATAAATATGTATCTCATTAACTTTTCATGGAATTATTTTTTATATACATCCTGTAGAAATATATATATAAAATTATTATTATTAATATTTTGGATAACTATTACTGATATCACAATTTAATATCAGAATTATATTTCTTGAGATTTAATTGTTCTTAGATCTCTTCTGAATAATCAGATTAATCTTAATTTAACATTACGTATAACGTCACTTACGATTCTGAAGATTCTCAAACGATGACTGGATACTTAAAGACGTGACACTTATGCGTGATTGTGTAGGTTTTTTTCACATTCGATTTGGCGTTAACCGTGCCACATCACTGCCGACACGCATGACGCATTTAGTCTGAGCACACATTCGGCATTGATACATCTACATATTAAAGCATTATTTCACGTAGCTCACATGTGCTGAACAAAAACTTCTATCACAATTTTAAATCTTATGTTGCATTTCTGTAAAGCAAAATTTTTGTATGTATGTACATACAATAATTGTTTGACAAAAATTTTGATTGATAATAATATTCAATGTTATAAAAAAATTATCACAATATTAATATGTGTGTGCGTGTGTTGTTTGACAAAAATTTTGATTGATAATAATATTCAATGTTATAAAAAAATTATCACAATATTAATGTGTGTGTGCGTGTGTGTGTGCGTGTGCGTGCGTGCGTGCGTGCGTGCGTGCGTGTGTGTGTGTGTGTGTGTGTGTGTGTGTGTGTGTGTGTGTGTGTGTGTGTGAGAGAGAGAGAGAGAGAGGAGAAATTTAATCAAAGTTCATACATGTTAATACATACATATGCATGTATATTTGCATCGACTTTTAATGAAGTATGTTAAACTTTGATTGAACTCTTGATGACTTAGTATAATTTATTATATGCTATATAAAATCGATTATCTATAAATTATACAAATGGATGAAAGAAAAAACGAGATAACAGTCCCATAAATCATGTATCAGTAATGGTTAAAAAATTTATAGATAACTACAACATACATGATATGTGTGAACGTTTTACTTCATTCATTCATATTATAACGGCGCAAGAACGTTACATAGAAGAAATAAAAGTCTAGTTTTTGTTTGAGCAATTATCATAAATATAAAATTGTCAGAGATATAAAAATTCATACATTGTATTTAGCAATTGTAGCATTTCACTAAATAGTTTTCTTAATATATACATCGTCTATTTTCTTTATATATATATTTTTGTTTTTCTGCATTGATGTTAATAAAGTACATCACATTCTACTGTATTCTGACAAATTAGAATAATAGTCTTTATAACTCTTGAAACACATGAAGTGTTTCGCAGATTTTGCTATTTTAATGTAAACAATATACTTCAAAAATCATATAAAAGTCTCCTTCAAACAGTAAATTTCACATCTTGAACACATTCTGTATGACTCAGTAATACTCAGCATCAACGTATGTTACAAATGGAGAACATGTGTCGCGGATATTCAGGCTGACTCATCTAGAAAACACTATTTTCTGAAACATTTGTACAAATACTGCAATCACTAATATTACCTCGTCCTATTGTTTCTGGTCCATTAATTATCATAGAAACCACTAAACACGAGTTCGATGGCTGCTTGCACATCACCATTGGTAAACTGCAATGCCTGAATGTTTATCGTGTCGTCTTGAAGACCCATCTCATGCATCTGTGCCAACTGCCGCTGTAGATCATTAATCGGTGGTGAAAATAGCGGTAATACCGGCGACAAAGAGGCTGCCGGCGACGCAGCTGGCTGCTGTGAATTTGAATTAGTCGCCAACGCGGCTTGTCTCATAGCTTCCATGAACATTTGGGGAGTGATCACGCCGGTGCTCTGATTGTCGGTTGCGGGTCGATTGGCACCGTCGGATGTGGAGGATGGCAGATTATCCAGTCGTTGCGACATCTGCGAGTTTGTAGCTGGCGATACATTAGGAAAACGTAGATTGCTGTTGTTTACAGGCTGCGTGGCAAAAAAGTGGGCAATATCGCGCGCCATTTCTTCCTCGAGGCTCATGCTATCAACACTATAGGAATGTGCGGTAGTAGGCTGCGAACTGGCCACTGAACTGCTGGAGGAGCCACTGGAGGCTGCATTGTGCGCTTCCTCGTGTACGGCCGCTGCAATGTTCTGCGCTGCCTCGATTAACACTGGATGCAGCTGTGCTATTCTGAATATGTAAAATAATAACAAAATCTTTAAATCCATGTTCGTACTAAAAAGATACAAAGTAAAAATGTATTGTTTTGAGAAATATGCTGTTTGCAAATTAATATTTCTGAAGAGTATACAAATTTAAGGGACCATACATCTAATTACCTTCTGACAGTGTCAACATCTATAAAATGCGCCATTAAATCAGGATCCTGCAACATGGCAATAGCGACTGCATCCTCGTGCAATCCAGGAGAGGATGAAATAATATTATCTATCACTTCTGGTCTTTTACTTAAACGCTAAAACACATCACAATGTTTATATAGATTTTCTCTAATGATACTTGATAATTATAATTAAAGATGTGTATCATATATTATATAAAATGTAAAAGTCATATACATCAATATACATATATATATATTTACATGCAAAGCATTTCTAAACGCAGGGGTCTCATTGAAAGATTTAAATGCTGATGCTAGTTGTAATATGCAATCTTCTGATATATGTTTATTCAACATTGATGACTCCGGTTCTTTCTTCTTCAGCGCATGTACCATTGATCCATTCTTCAATCCGACAGACTCTACTGTTGCATCATCTTCAAGTATAAGTCCACAATAAATAAATTCTAGAGAAAAAGAGAGATAATTATTAGTATTATATTTTTGCTAAAGTTGAATTTATTCTATACAGAATTATTTCAAATAGCCTGAACTGTAATCATATATTTTTTAAAAATTAGAATTGAACTCTCTTCAAGAAAGATAAAAATTAAGGCTAATTTAGTAAGGATTGAAAATAAAGCTAATCTAATGAGGATTTTTGAGAGTAGACAAATGACTTGATATATATTTCAAATATATAAGAAATAAAAAAATCTGATGTAAAACTTGAATCAAATAACAAAAGGATACAAAAAAACTTGTGACAAAGACCAATCTTCAAATAATACAAAGTCATTTTTACCAAATGAATTTTTGGGCAGATTCCACCTTTCCGCGGCTTCTTGCTTTAATACCTCTACTTTTGTTTTCAGGTTCACACCGCTCAACGTAATCGGCATGATCATCTCAGAATTTATCTGTACCCCGAACAACAGCTCCATAGCTATCATAATTAAACGAATCAACTCAAATCCGAGGGTCGACTCTATTCTCACTACGGTCTCTTCGACATTTAATCTTCAACTTTTCGGCTTTTTCTCGAATCCCAGAATGCGTGAATCTCTACGAAAATTCTCTCTTTTGTCCGTTTCAAACATCGAAATTGATTGAAATCTGGAATAACTTGCAATGAAACATATAAATGTTGACAAAAGGTTACCTGAAATCTGAGGATTCTGAGGTTACCAATATACAGGGGGGAACCATATATATACTCCTATACATATATGGAGGGAACAAACTTCAGTCTTCTAGTGACTTTACTCCGTATATTCTGGGGGCGATTAGGGTCTACGCACAATAGGAGAAATATTAGGAACAGATATTAAATATAAGAATTTTAACCTGTCAGAAAGCGCACATTCCACAGTACACAGTTCTGATAGGTTAAAATTCTCATATTTAATATCTGTTCCTAATATTTCTCCTATTGTGCGCAGACCCTTAGAGTCCGCTATGTTCAGATTCCCACCAGAGTGCCACACAGGTATCCTTCTATCCTTATTGTTTACCAAATATTAAACAAGGATGACATGATACCCGGGGAGCACTCGGGTGGGAATCTGAACACGCCCCTAGATAAGGACTCTAATGTCCGTTTCTACCAATGTAGATTAACTTTAATCTCGGTTTAACTTACTGTTCCATCTTTTTCTAATTTTTAGAATTAGAAAAAAACGAAGAGCAAATTGAACCGAGATTAAAGTTAATCTATACATTGGTGGAAATGGGCATAAGGGCCTCTTTCACCAACGCCGATTAACTTAATCGACGATTAGTCCTAGCCCGGATCCTCATACGGACAACAGCGCTTTGACACCGGACGCTGATTGGTGAAAAACGGGTTATGGGGGTAAATTTTACCCTCGCCACCGGTTTTTCACCAATCAGCGTTTGGTGTCAAAGCGCTGTTGCCCGTATGAGGATCCGGGCTAAGGGTGCAAACCCATGCAGTGGAATAGCGTAACGCGGAACGAGAATAGAACCAATCACGAGATTCTCTAGAAACACGGATGCTCATTATTGGTTCTGCTCTCGTTCCGCGTTACGCTATTCCGCTGCATGGGTTTGCACCCTAATGCTGGATTCTCACTGCATCCGATTTTCGTCGTACGACGACTCTGCAACCAATCAGGAAACAAATTTTTGCTTCGTATCGATGATACGATTTTTCTGATTGGTTGCAAAGTTATCGTACGACGAAAATCGGATGCAGTGTGAATCCAGCATAAAGGTACAATTTCATGCTGACGATTGACGCTTATTTTTAGCGTCAAAACAGATCACATGATCAAAATTGATGCTTAATATTCGTCAATTTGTATCACGTGATCTGTTTTGACGCTAAAAATAAGCGTCAAGCGTCAGCATGAAATTGTACCTTAAGGCTGCTTTTACATGCAGCGTAACTTGCGTCAACCAATCAAACTGTATCAAATTGTATCAGCCCTACGCCATATTCTAATTGAGACAATTTGATTGGCTGACGCAAGTTACGCTTACGCAAGTTAAGGCCATCACACGTACGAAAATTTTAGTAGCAATCGTAAGGTCTTAAGCATATCGACCAATCACAATCAAGATTACGATCTCACATTTTAAACTGTGATTGGCCGATTTGCTTAAGACCTTACGATTACTACTAAAATTTTTGTACGTTTGATGGCCTTTACGCTGCATGTAAAAGCAGCCTAAACAATTCTGCGACAAAAAGACCTTTTTGTCGCTGGAACCATCGACATTGTGCATGCGCCTTGCTATACCTCTCTTATTATACCATGAGCTCGGCCTCGAGCCTCGGCCAGAAGAAGAAGAAGAAGAAATCTGGCAACTGTGTACTAATATGTTGTGCGGGAGTCGCGGGAGATCGGCAATACGGCAAAACGACCGGCGTGTGTCTCTCTGACAGTTGATATTGTTGATAAAGGAATGACAGCCCGATGATGCCTGGCAATCCGCCGGTCTGACTCATCTCACTCCGAGAGCTACAGACCGAACCAGAGCAGAGATGCAAGGTATCTGCGATAATATTCGCACAGCGATCGAACACGGACGTACTGACATTATCAGATCGCTCTTGGATGCGTGTACGTATTTTCCTTTCTTTCGTTGCTTCAAATTTTGTACAAACTCTCTTGTATTAACTTAATAAATTGAGTGGGATGAATAAAAACATCCTTCGTTTTTCGTTGTTATCATTGTTGACCTTCCTCTATCACAGGTGAAAACGGTAATACTACAGAGGGTATTACAAGAGACAAGATATTGAATCAACCAGTTTTGGAAGAAGGAACTTTCTTATCGTATGCTTCAAAGGTTTGTGAAATACTTTTCCAGACATGCTTTATTGAATGTTGTTGTTCCAATTTTTTTTTCTTTTAAATATTTCTATTTGAATTATTAAAATAAATGTTTCTATTTATGCTATTCTTATTTAAGACCAATCAAGTGGATATTGTGAGAACTCTTTTGAATTGTGGTGCTGATCCAGCTGTACAAAATGCAGATGGACAGAACGCGGTCGATGTTGCCTCAAGTGATGCAATACGACGTATCTATATAGAAGAAATGTTAAGAGCAACAGCTGCTTCTGAGTACGTAAATATATCAACATTCAATTTTATGATTTCTTTTTTTAATTATGTGAGGTATGACATAATCATACTAATTAATATCATAGAACAATTGGCATGTATCTTTTTACAGAGTAGACAGAGTAGTGCAGTTGCTGGATGCAGGATTGGATGTTAATTCATGGGACTCACAGGGTAGTAAGAACACACCATTGCACTGGGCAGCATGTTATGGGAACAAACACATTATTGCGTGTTTACTTGGTAATGTATAATAGATATCATGAAGTCTGTTTTTTTGCTCAAGTATCATACAATGTTTGTACTTTAAATTAGTATGTTTGATATTTGGCAAAAACGAGAAGAAAAGTTATAGTACAATCCAGTGCAGCAATAAAAAACTTATTAACGTTAGTAATGTTCATGTTACAATTTTCATGTAGATAAAGGAGCCGATGTAAATGCTGAGAATGGTTGTGGTGCAACACCATTGCACGATGCAGTAAATCGTGGCGATATCGCTATCTGTCAAGAATTATTGCAGGCTGGTGCAAATCCTCTTATACGAGCTACCAAAGGGTGAGCGATTAATTGTAAGAATATATAATTCTTGCGCATACAAACATATCAAACGATATTTTTTTTCTTTCAGAACATTTGCTAGGAAAACTCCGTATGAGTTGTCTAGAAAAAAACAATCTCTACATTGTTTTCTTCAAAGATTTATATCGAATTTTATGCTGAACGAGAACGAAACAATACACGGTGCTACTATGTCATATCCAGATACAAACTATTGCCAGAAGGGTCTCACGTGCAATATGAGCCAACTGTCGGTTGAATCTAACAAGTCATTGGATCCGGCATACGATGCGCCTTTGCATGATACAGGCAAAGAGAGTCCTAGCAAATTTATTATTGATAAAGGAAGTATTTACAACTTGCTATGGCCACAGCCAAAGATCGTAAACGAATTAAAAAATTTTACGGCCCCGTTTATCGCTGGAAAGGAGCTTTTTATATCAATAATACAGGTAATAAATTCAAATATACATATACATTAATATTTCTTCTTAGATATCTATAATAGAAAATTTTTTGAATCGCGTTTCTATTAAGAAGACATTTCCTCAATTTTACATATGAATTCTCATTGTGCCTCCAAATTATTCTACAGGGCAGTGAATCTGTACATAAAATACTAGATGTGTGGGAGATCAGCAGGACTCATCTGTTGGAATTGGGTCATGATGTAAAGATCGGTGAAGTGCAACCCAGTTGTGGTAAATTGCTCAACGATAATACGATTGAATGCATCGTGAATCGGAATCTATTTAACATTGCGGATAGCTATCAATTGCATATTACGCATAACTCCATAAAAGTGAGCGCTGGAAGTCTAGCGGGGCTGCATTATGCGGTCTGCACATTCGTGCAAATTCTACGTCTGAGTAAGAATCAGAGTAGATCGGAAGTGTGCGAGATAGAGTCTGTTTTCATCAAAGACGAGCCAAGATTCGCACATCGCGGTATACTGTTGGACATCTCGCCTAGAGGACGTGTACCGACCTTGGAATATCTTTTACATATTATTGATCTACTCTCATCGTTTAAGATCTCGCATTTGCATCTCTATTCCAGACTCATTCAAAATTGTGACTGGCAGCTTTGCTACTCCAAGTCCGAGATGGTAACTCTGGACAGATATTGCAGGTATAAATTATATATTTATATATTATAATTTTAAGAATTTATACTTTTCAAATAAGAGATTTCTGATTTTTTATGAACTGTATTGTTTATATCATCACTTTTTTTATTGTTGTTTTTAATTGCGACGTATTTATTATATAATTTACGTTTTAAATGACAGATTTAAGTTTCTATGTAATTTGGAAATTATGAACTTTTTCAGAGATCGTCATTTAGACATAGTTCCAACGTTAGACGTTGATTCTAACATCACCCAACATCACCTAATGCAAATGTGGCCTATCTTTCAAGATTTGCTCGCAGTATTTCCTAGCTTAAATTACGTTCACGTAGGTCCGCGATTAACCACTTTATTAGTACAAGCTGATAGCTTCGACTTGAGTGTGTCCGTCAACGATACGCTCGAAACGGACATGTCGGAAGTATTCAAGTCTTACTCGTGCCTTCAAGAACTCTGGCATATTCTTAATTTGAGCTCGAGCACGACTTTACTTTTATGTTCCAATAGTTTACATTCCAAATCCGAGTTTCATAATATTCCTACTAATATCATACTTGTCGAATACGGATTTCAGGTAAGAGTTAAATTACTTCCTTCGATTTTTTATGATATACTCGCAGGGACAATTATTTAAGTAAAATTTACTATAAATTTTCGAATATTACAGGCTGATTATGATTTCTCTGAATGGACAGAACCATTTAGACTAGCTGGTGGTAATGTTTTACCGAGTTCTGGCACAGCTAGTTACAATAGCTTGGCCGGATGTCCAGCATCAACGTATGCTAATACGAGAAATGCGATAAAAACTTCTCTGGAGCACAACTCCATAGGCATTGTTGTCGCACATTGGTCAGGAAGTCATCATCTTACTCCGCATCCTTTCGCGTGGATCGGCTATTTAATAGCGGCTGGTTTAGCTTGGAATTCCACAACGGAAATAGATTTAGGACCTGATGATAATTATGACATCCCCGAGTTGTCCATATCAGTTAGGTAACAACTGTTACAAAATTTGCAATCCATGATATATTCACACTCATAATGTTTTATAAAATCGTTTTATTTTGTAGAGAAAGATACATCACAAAATTATTGGATATACATGTGTTTCAAGATTCGGAATATAAAATCGGTAACGCGATACTAGAATTGGGACGTTTGGACACGTTGGTACTAACATTAAGTAAAAATCAAGCGGTCAAAGATCTACAACAAATACCAGATAATCGCGGTTCTACGTTATATAGATTACTGACCGATCCGGATAATGTTAATTTGGAGTATCTTTCGACCGACCTATTTGCCGTAAGTGCGCTTTTGTATGTTTGCGCGCGCTTAATATATGAAATATATTAGGGATGAGTAAGCAAGATATACTCAGATATTCCAAATTAATTTTCTATTATATATTTGTAGAAAATGACGAAGCAGATTAAACGAATATCCCATTCCTTGTATGAGGCGAACTTATCCTCCAAGTTCGCATCTATGGAAATACAGGAATTGCAATTGACATCCGATCTGATGTTGACAGCTTGTAAAATCGGTAGAACATTGATTGGAGTCGGTGTGAATCCGAACAGCAACATGGGACTCGCTGTTATTAATTTAGGAGTATGTAATCTGCCGCCCACTTTCAGGACCGATATAGCAAATAAGATGTTGGCTCATATAGAACAATATAAAGGTTCCTGGTTGCAAAGACATTTTCCACAGGGTCTCCAAGACTCGTTACTAGTTTTAACTAGTGCGCTGCATAGGTTTGTGCCGGCAACATAAGTTTTTTTTTCTTTTTAAGCAAACAAAACATTTAGTTTACAACTGAGCAATCTACAAAGCGCAAATGTCTAAAAGACTTTTACAGGACATCTCTCTTGAACTTTTGTATTCGAAATTTTAATCGACAAAGGACTGCAGTATATAAATATGATACAACACGGCAAATGAAATATGTAATAGATACAGGATTTCAAGATACATTTGAAGAAAAACTATTGAAAGCAATATGTACTTTTATGTATTCCTCACATATTATCACTATTATTGTATGTTTGCTATACTGTATATTATTTAATATTCACAAATTTATTCTTAAGATACTTTTGAAAAATATTTTATTGAGAGAATATAGTTTTATGCTAAGAACTTTTGACTATAAAAAGAATGTTTTATTAAATATAAAAACATTTATTAATTACATTTATTGTCGTTGTTAATTGCATAATAATTCTGTGAGTCACTGCTGATATAAATAACAGCGAGTAATGTTTGAATATATTGTTTATTTTCATATGGACATATGTGCAAATGCAGAATTTAAAAAAAAATCTCTTTCACAGGTAACATATTTTTCATATTACTAACAGATTTAATATAACTATAATGTAGCTTATAAGTAATATATATAGGTTATATACATAAATAATATTGATCTATTGTAACAATTATTATGAAAAATAATACTAAGACTTTTCATATATACAATTTTTATACATATAAACGTTATTTAATCTGACTTCTTAACAGCGAGTTTTACAGGATCTTTCTTTAAATGCTTTTAACTTTTCAATGTTATATCATAATAATTTTTAATTTTTGTCTTATATATCATATACTTTCTTTTCATAAATATATTCATTTTATATATTTTTAAAAAATTTAATATGGCATTAAAAAATATTAATTAAAGAATCATTCAAGCATTTATTATTTCTATTAAATTTACTAATTTTGAAATTGAGCAATAAATCTCTGTCAATTAAAACTATGTATAGACAATATTTTAAATGCATTGTAAATTAGAGCATTTCTTATATGTAACATGTTTTATCAGTATTAAATCTTTACACTTTACGTCATTACTTACATTCATTTGTCAATTTAGTATCGCTATTTATAAGGTTGTTTCTATTTTGTTCGTTCCATCCGCCCATTTCTAAATCTTGTTTGTGGAACATTTCTTTTTCGAGTGCTTGTAGCCTATAAAACTCATTGATCTCGAACTGATACTTGGGCGCTGTTATGCCAAAGAAATTGGCCAAGCATTCACCAACGTAATCACAACCGTCCAACATTTTAGAACTGAACCATGTGGTTTGGTACCATGCCCATGGTAACCAATTCATATTTTTCTATAAAATATGTATTATTTTGTCCTTTTATTGAATAATAAGTATATAATATTATATATATATATAATATAATTTTAAATTAATATGATTTATATAATTACAGTATCTATCTGCGACACAATTTTATTTTTTGGTGTGTCAACTTCATCTTCTGATGAATATTCCTCCATTACTCCATCCGAAAACTGCAGTATTCTCTTTGGCTTTTTACTCAATTTGCGTTTGTACTAGAAATCGATATTTAATAAAATTAAACTAAATTAAATTTGTTATGACTTATACATAAGGTTTTTATAGAAAAATATTAATCATAAAAATTCTGGACGATGTCAATGGTTAATATTTGTTAATAATTTAAAACTTAATGAAATTAAAGAAAAGAAAAGATTAATTAAGACAAATTAAGATGATATTATTAAGAATTTTCTGACCTAAAAAGAACTCTTTTCAATACTTAATCTAAAGCTTTACTATAGAAAATACCTAGTAATTTGTACAAGAATCAACAATGGAATGTGATAACAAATATCTGTGTATTAACAACCTAGTATATTTTTTTCCCCTGAAAAACTTTTAAGTTTACAAAGAAGATCCATTTGTGTAAATTTATTTTTATCTCGGAGAGGTCAAGCAAAACTATGTAATTTAGGTAAAGATCGTTTGGGAGGTTAAATAGAACGAAACATTTATATCTCAATGTCTGATATAAAGAGATCTACCTATTTATATACAATCTTACCTGTGTGTGCGTTTCGGTATCCGAATTATCCTGCAGAATAACGTCGCTTAGATCCCTGATGTCGTTCCTATCTGATGCCATCGTCGGCCGTATCTTACGGTAAACAAAGCTTTTCGTACTGCGTCGTGCTCCGATGACTCTCTTCAGTACGTCAAGCAAGTTCTCTGTCGCTCTCCGCTCACCAGTCAGATGACTCATTCGAAACAAACGAGGCTTTGAAAGAAACGGCGAAGCATCGTGATCCCATTGGTGCTGCTGATTTGGCGGTTCTTCTGTTGACTTGTCTGCGGCCGGGCTGAACAAGCAGGGCACGTTGGGCTCACCTAGATTAGACCCTTGCTGCTCTCCAAGAGGCACATTTTATTTTTATTTAACATTGACAAATTAGCAAGGAATATTAATGATGATGTCTCATTATATTACACTGCAGTGTCATTCTCTTGTTAGAAAGGAACCTTCATAAAAAGAGTGATGATTTTTACGTTCTGTGAAGCGATATGATGCACATATGATGCATTTATTCATTGATCGAATGTTACACAAGGATAAAATGATACATTATGCTTTACAAAACTAGGATTTGTCAAGTCTGAGAGAGACAGAGAGAGAGAGAGAGAGAGGATGTATACTGTCTCATTCTATAACTTTAAGAATTAAGATTATATAGATACCTTCCATGTAAAGTGACATAAATGTTCTACCTTTCTTTACATTCCATGAATAACAAAAACAACATGTATATTTATGTTGACTTGTGTCATTAAAAATGGAAAGCACTCTATATAAAGTGAGATATATTATATGTATATATAGAGGGGAAAAAAATATATACCTTCATTTCGTAGGATTTTAGTAAAATCGCTCATGGCCAGAATTGTTAATTGAGTGCGTCTCCTTGACGTTCATAACGTTCATCATTCATGGAATCTTTTCACCCTTTATATATATGTTAAACAATCAATACTGCGGAAAGCATCGTGTGAGCGTCAAATGAACTCACCCCTTTATATATATAGGGTTTCTCTTTAATTAGGCTCGCACCATGGTGTGTCGCTTATTTTTGTATTCGAAAATGGCATTTCGCGATTAATTTTAGAATCCAGTAGAATTATATTCCTTATTTAACTGATCCTCTCCCAAGTCTCATTTATACCTACTGACTCTCATAAAATACATCGCGTGCATGCGCGACTGCAACTGGCATGAATCGCAACATTCGAGGTGGAGAAATAATGTGTGGAATCATATGAGGGTGCAATAAACACAATAGAAGGAATAACGATTTTAACCTATCGGAAACTGTATTCCGATGTAGCCAATTTTTACCTAACCGTCCGAAAGTCTTTAAATTCCTTCTTCTATCTTATCGAGAAAATCCGTTAGTTGCCGATGAAATCATTTTTATCTTTCCGACAACGATAATGCTCATTTTAAATGAAACGATCGTCTATAGTGTATATGTTCATATATATTCACGTGTGTTTCGAAAGGAAAAGATAAAAGATTTAAAGGACCGTTGATTCAAAAGTCTTGCTTAAGCACCCTTATTATTATAATTATATCCGACATGCATTCTTAAAATTTATTCTTTTGTCAGTGATTCGTTGGATGGTATAATGTTTAATTACTCTAAAATATAAACACAGATATATAGTTTCAATGAAGTATTAAATGATAGAGGGCATCAATTGAGAATATTTGCATTTTTTCAATGAAAAATTATTCTATTGCTGGATGCTTATAGTGAAAATATATGCGTCAATTTCATATTCTACTGCTCATATTTTTGAAAGTTGAGTTGTTTTTGTAAATAATAATGCCTAAAAATGCACAACAGCGCTTGCTGATTTATCAACTTTTATTTTAGGAACAGGGCAAATCTCAGTTTGAAATAGCTCAAATTAAGAGTTAAATGATCGCGTGAACTATAAAAGCTAATAAGCGTGGACCTACTAAATACTGATAAAAGCAATAAATATATTGACTAATTAAAAATATATATGGTTTTATTTTTATCTGCCTTTACCACAATTTAAAATAACTTGGTAGTTATGAGGTGCCTAATATTTTTACACAAGGCTAGCTGTATTTTAATTATAATGATGCTTTTTTTTTCTGCGGTTAATAGATATAATGATATTAATTGTATATATATGTATAAATAATATAAAATATATAAAACACACATATAATATATATAACATTAATACATATAATATATCGCTTATTTGTTACAACAATGATATAATAAAAATAATCAAAAACACAATGAAAAGAATATAGGTATATACTTTAAAACAATATTCGACTTTTTATTTTTCTATAATTATAGTTATTGCATTAAAGCTACATATATCAAAATTACCATTACAAAATTAGAAAAATTGTTTATAATTATAAAAGGTTAATAATTTAAACAACTTGTTTTTTAATAATGTTGTTATTTTAGCAAATAAATGATATATTATTGTAAACACACTCGCACATATAGTTATACATATATATGTATATATATTGTACGAATGTGTTTACAACAATATATGTCATTTATTTGCTGCAACTGGCATGAATCACAACATTCGAGGCGAAGCTGTAGGCGGATATATAGCTTTAATGCAATAACTAATTATAGAAAAATAAAAAGTCGGATATTGTTTTAAAGTATATTTTTTTCATGTTTTTGATAATTTTTATTATATCATTGTTGTAACAAATAAGCGATATATATTTTATAAGCGATTAATATTTATAATAGAATATTTACAGGGCTGGCTGCACGTATTTGAAATACTTTTATATAAAACACAGTTTTTGCAATAAAAGTAGATTTTATATTTTATATTTCAACAGTGTTTATAAAAGTATTACGTATTTTTTGTATTTAAAATTGAAAGATTGAAAGCTTTATTATGTAACTACAATGCCTTACTGATGAGTCCAGTAGTGGAAGTTGGGACGAAACGCCATAATTACGTGATATTCTTCGCAATATATTAGATTGATTTAAAGATTTTAACGAAAATTGGCTCATTGCCCTTATTTCATTATATTAGTTGCTTTATTATGTATTTTGTAATTTAAATAATAATATTAATCGTCAATCTTAGTATTTAAAATACAATTAATACAAAATATTTTCAATCTTTCATTATTAGTACTAAAAAATGCGCAAAATATTTTTATATACTTCCATAAAATCTAGAATGCAAAATATTTTTATGTACTTCGCTGAAATACAAAATAACACGATTGTCTTCATATAAATACCATTTTCAAGTAAAAATATTTTAAATATGTGCCCACACACACACGATTTATGAAGTTAAAGGGATAAAAAACGGTCGATAAGATCGATTTTCCCCCCATCCCCGACATTCGTATACCGAGACACATTTCTATTGGCGGACACGGAGCAATCGTTCGAGACCTAATGCAGGCTTTCGATTCTCGAATCCTGCGAGTTCTGACGTCGAATGGCGACGACAAGGCTGCTAACACGACGGATGGTGGCCAATAGATTCAGACCTTCAGACCTGACAAACCGTCGTTAAAAAGTGAACGGAACGTTGCACAGAGTGACCGAATACCCGGGGATGAGTTTGTGACGTGTCTGAGGTCTGGAAATCGATTGCGGAGTTGTCGCAGTGGGCTCTCACGGTCTCTCACGGCGGTGTATGCGCGAGAGGTGCGTCGGCGGTGCCGTTAATTATGTGAAAGAGAAAAGGAGCACTGTGCGTGTGTGCGTGCGCCTCTTGGTGCGGCAAAGTGGGACACGTTTCTCACGTCGCGTCATGTTCCATCACGAGTACGAGAAACGGCTGCTGAAGCCGATGAGCGCCGATGTCTCGACGGTAACGGGCATGGCGACGTTGTCCAACACCACTGTCGCCACTTACTCGCCCATCTATTTCTCACCCACGAAGACGGCATACAACAACAGCTACGACCGCTTTATACCCACCCGCTCAGGTAATAACTGGCAAACAACGTTTTCTATGATCAGCGAGAATAGCCGGGGCGGCTTGGTGGCGAAGAAAACACGAGAGAATGGTGAGGGTAGCCGCGACGGTATCGCCTATTCCTGCCTATTGAAGAACGAGCTGCTTGGAGCAAGCATAGAAGACGTGAAGGGTCAGTGCGAGGAGCGCAGAGTACTCTCGCCGTTGGTTACTAAGAACCTCTTTAAGTACACCACTCCCACTAAGGATCGGACCCTGCTGGATCAAAGTTCACCATACTCCTTGTCACCACTTAGTGCCAAAAGTCAGAAACTATTGAGATCTCCTAGAAAGGCTACCAGGAAAATCTCAAGAATACCTTTTAAAGTACTGGATGCTCCGGAGCTGCAGGATGACTTTTATCTGAACCTGGTCGACTGGTCCTCTCAGAATGTTCTCAGTGTTGGCCTGGGAAGTTGCGTCTACCTATGGTCAGCATGTACCAGCCAGGTAACAAGACTCTGCGATCTGTCTAGCGATGGCAACAGTGTTACTTCAGTCGCCTGGAATGAACGTGGCAATTTGGTAGCAGTAGGTACACATATGGGCTACATACAAGTGTGGGATGTAGCGGTAAACAAGCAGGTGAGCAAGCTACAGGGTCACAGCGCCCGGGTGGGAGCCCTGGCATGGAACGGAGAGGTTCTCTCATCCGGTAGCAGGGACCGGTTGATCCTACAGAGAGACGTGAGAACGCCGTGTGTCGTTGGCGAACGGCGACTCGGTGCCCATCGGCAGGAGGTGTGCGGCCTTAAGTGGTCACCAGACAATCAATACTTGGCGTCTGGTGGCAATGACAATCGGCTCTACGTGTGGAATTTACACTCCCTTTCACCCATCCAGACGTATACCGAACACCTAGCGGCAGTGAAAGCGATTGCCTGGTCACCTCATCATCATGGCCTGCTGGCGTCTGGCGGCGGCACCGCCGACCGTTGTATTCGCTTCTGGAACACATTGACCGGCCAACCAATGCAATGCGTCGACACCGGCTCGCAGGTCTGCAACTTGGCATGGAGCAAGCACAGCTCTGAGCTAGTCAGTACGCACGGTTATTCGCAGAATCAAATTCTCGTGTGGAAATACCCGAGCCTCACCCAAGTGGCCAAGCTCACTGGACACTCATACCGGGTGCTCTATCTAGCGATGTCGCCTGATGGCGAGGCGATTGTTACTGGTGCGGGCGACGAAACTCTACGCTTCTGGAACGTATTCAGTAAGGCCCGCAGTCAGAAAGAAAACAAATCCGTGCTGAATCTATTCACAAGTATCCGATAAATAGTGGACTGCACTGGAAATCGTGGTAGAGCCTCGTAAAACGTCTTTTATTATGTATTTTGTACATATACACACGTATCTATCATCATAAATACATTATCGTAGAGTATTCTAAAAGAATTATATATAGATATATACACTTATATAGAAACACATATATATATATATATATAATATTATAAATAATTGCGCTATAGAGGTACTAGAAGAAACACATTCTTAGAGAACTGTATAGAAATAAGAATTACGCGATGTTCTCAATATATAGGATAAGTCCGCGGATTTGTCGCATAGTCTACGACATGTTGAGTACTTGTGTGCAATACTCGTTGCTATTCTCCGGTACCTTACAAGGAAAAAATGATTGCATGCCGGAGATTATCGCTATGAGACGCTCTATATTTTTTATGCACTTTATATACACTTATTTTTATATGTCGTTACTCTATAAACATTATGAATATTTGCACAGAATATGTCCTGAAAATCACAATTATAACGGCAAATCTGGAATAGATTTTTTTCTTTATTATTGATATCAAATTACAGAAAAATTCTTATATTTACAATATTTTGTGAAATAAACTATATTTTTTATTATTTTAAATCATATTTTTACTTAAAGATTTGTTTTTTAATTAACGAGACAATCGGTCGCAGCCAACAAGAATTTTCCTAAGAGAAATCTACTCCAGATTTGTCCCTAGATTTATAATTAAAATTAAGTCGTTCCAGGACACTCTGTACAACGCGCTTGCGTTTTTCTATTCTATTTTGCATCTTACGTGATCACAATGGTTGGAGCAAACACAATGTATATCTTGCTGTACCTTCGATCAGAAATTTACACAGCGATGATCTATCATGCATTTCATAAATTTGTAATCGCAGTTCTCTCTCCTTTGAGAATGCACTTGATCATTAGATTTTCTCAACTTTTCGAAATAAATGTCCTTGGAGATATCTGCAGACTGACCAGACTCTGAAAAAGAAAAAAGTGAAGTTTACAAAACTTTAGAAAGGCTGTCTTGTACTTTTGCTATTGCTTGACATTGTCCTGCAGCTTGCTGTCTCCAATATGCTCCATTAGTCACTTGAAAAAGGGATTTGCTTCTACGGAACAATTTTTCTGTCACATTCTTCTATCTATAACTAATGTTAACTTATAGTTTACGTTCGGAAAACTGTACAAATTTAAGTTGAAATGTGACTTATATCATGCGAATCTATTAATTTATAACAAGAAGAATATACATATATTTAATATATCACATTGATATATCTTGCGTAATGTTATTTGAGAAGAAATAAAGGGGGTTGAGAGTTGATAAGAGAAAATTGTACAATTGAGAAAATTTATGTGTAGTTCGCAGACGTATACGCATATTTGCGTAATCTATTTTTCGCAATACCGTATATTATACGTTCGAATACATGAGTATGTAATAAAAAAGAATAGGAAACTGAAATAAAAAAGCTATATCTAAGAACCGAGATATTAATTCTCAGCGAGTGATGATTATTTCGGTTATAGTTCGCCGAATGCGAATAATCGACGATTGTCATATAATATATATGTTATGCTCTTGTAATATGTATAAAATATTTTTATACAATAATCACTATTGTGTCGTAAGATGAAATGCGTACACGCCTACGACGCTTTGCTCGATTCACTTTGTTACGGCGATTAACTAGGAAGACAAACCGAAAGTAAAAAAAAAAGGGGAATGCAAATTGTTGCATTAAGTCCTATATGTGCACTGCATTCCATCTGTGCCAAGCAGGATCCGAGTTTCTTATAATAAGTCATCTACAAATAGAGAAGTTTTCTCTTAGTTTCTATACAGCATCGTTCGATACGTGACGTGTAATTAAAACGAAATAGAAAAATATTTTGTTTTTCACAATGGAATCCGAAGAGGTATACATAGAACGATTGTAAACGATATCAGATCTATTAAATATAATGCGCAAAAAAAAATAGACAAATTATATATGAGATATTGATGAAATTAGTAAAATCATAAGTCATTATTTTAAAAAATTATAAAATATAATTGTGTTGCCTTCTGTTTTACTTCTTTTACATATTAAAATAAAACAAGAGATGAATGAGACGACAGATGTATATAGATTTACTAGTCAAATTTAGTCAAAATTTTTCGGATTCGATATTGATATTTTTTAAATAAATATTTCTCAATATATATATACTTATATGTATGTATATATGCATATATGTATATATATATATAAATATAGTAACATTTTTTTTTATTTTATAATTTATATATTTTCTTTTAAATAATATTTCTAATTTTCCAAAATATATAAGAATATTTTAAAAATAAAGTAAATAAGAATAAAATCCCTTCACGCGCGCTTTTACAAGTAACATTGTTTTTCTATGATATAAATTAATAATCATTTATTATATGTATATCTTCTATTGTGCTGATGTTTGTAGAAACGATATCGTTTATGCTCTCGTGAATTATTTAAATTTTTTAAATAAATATATAGTAAGTATAATTTGTTTTGGAAAATACACTCTTTTTGGGCGAAAATGTGTAAATTTTAAAGAGTATGTTTTTGTGGAGATTTATCATGAAAATTTTAAATTGACTTTTATGATTAAATCATTAAATCTATGATGTATTACACATCAAGATTTAATAAATATTAATATTGATATGAATATATAAAGTAAAAAATATATGATGAGGTATTATTACTTTTTTGCAAGTCACGCGCTAATATCCAACATATTTATAATGTAATCGACTTTCGATTTATGATCGTAATTGCGTGCAATTGTCTTATGGAAGATCTTTATATAGGAAAATCTTCACATAGGAAAAAAAAACGGGCCACTAAATTTTAGTCTAAATTTTTAATATTTTCAAATAGCGATAACTTAGTGAAAAATTAACGTAGTGAGATGTTTAACAAAGCATTTTAAAGCTTAAAATTTCTACTTTTCAGACCTGTACTTAAAAAAGTATTACTGATATTTCATAAAGTTACACGAACATGAATAAAGATGCATAAAATTTTTTACGAAATTTGCGATGTTCCACGGCGCCAATTAAAAATTGCGCACAAATAAGGTTTACAGCTTTCAAAATACTAAATTTTTACTTTTGTTTTTTTATTGAGCTTTGTACGAGTTTTTTTCACCGCTTCAACGTTGAAGCAAAAACGACCTTTTTTGCTTCAATGTTGAATAACTCGATAAAAAAGCAAATTAAAGATAGAGATTCAGTCTTCCGAAAGCTGTAAACCGCATTTATGCACAATTTTTAATTCGCATCGTGGAACTTCTCAAATTTCGTAAATAATTTTGAGGTTTGACATACCTTCACTAATGTTTATGTAACTTCATGAAATATCAGTAATACCGTTTCTTGAAATACTGATATGAAAAGTAAAGATATTCACACACACACACAAGCTTTAAAATACTTTTTTAAATATCTCGATACGATGATACTTGACGAAGTTATTTTATCTTGAAATTTGCTTGTATAGTTTTTTTTAACAAAATTAGAGTCATTTAATATCAGGGAAAAGGGTCGTTCGAGGGGGTAACCACCTGCAGCCGAAAAATTGTCCCACAGGCTACATGATTTCATTCGATTTCATACGACTTCATGTGACGAACAATCAATCCTTTTCACTATATATATGAGGTTATTTAGTTTAATAAACGATTTTACTTAATATTATACAATTATTTCTTGTAGTTGCACTTGCAATTATCGGATTGTACATAGGGATTTCATAAGGATTTTATAATAATTTCGGGGACTCTGTTTCACGATTACATTAGGTGGTTATCTCCTTGGGGTCGTTTTTGCTTCAACGTTAAATAACTCGATGAAAAAAAATCGTACAGAGTTCAATAAAAATGCAAATTAAAGGTAAAGATTCACTCTTCCGAAAGCTGTAAACTCCATTTGTGCGTAATTTTTAATTGGCACCTTGGAACTTTACAAATTTCGTAAAAAATTTTACGATTTTATGCATCTTCATTTATGTTCGTGTAACTTCACATAATATTAGTTCAACCGTTTTTTAAGTATCGATCTGAAAAGTAGAGATTTCAAACTTTAAAATGCTTTTTTAAACATCCTGCTACGATGATTTTTCATTGAGTTATCGCCATTTGAAGATATTAAAAATTTGTGCTAAAAGTTAGTAGCTTTAGTGGTCCATTTTTTTGCCTGTGTGTAGTTTCTTACTCTATTACTTTTACGCGAGTCGCTACTCAAACGCAATTCTTTGCTAATTATAGTAATTATAAAATATCTCATTCTTGCAAGAGATACATATTGTAAAATATTTATAACAAGTCAGTTTTATATCTATCATTAGTTTGATGACAATTACAAGCGAATTCTATCATATACGATCGTACTTGTACAATATTAATTGTAACTTATATTTTTTTGAAAAAATATAAAATCATAAATCAAATTATCTATTAATATACATACTATATGTAAAACGCATAATCATACTTTCGAAGATTCAGCTATTATGTAACTGCCTGCAAGTCAAATAAATAAGTGTTAGAATAAAATATTCAGTGAACTTTCAGATGTATTCGCGTATCATGGGTTAAATAAAGTAATTCTGTTATAAAAATGTCATGGTTTCAACCAAATCTTGTATAAAATTAATGTAAGCAATCGCTCTCTTTCTGTATATTCTCCTACAAGTAAAATAGCAGATTAGTTTCTTGTCAGGATTTTTAGGATTAGAATATGTTGTGTACTTTACGAAAAATTGATTTCTAGGAAATGTTAAATTTCTATTAAAAAAAATCATTTATGCATAAATGTATTTATGAAAAATATACAATATTTTACATGAATCCTTTTAAAAATATATACGATATCGATGCTCAGACGAAACTATCATCTTGTTTAAGAATTCTATTTGTCGATTTTAATTTTTAATTAAAATAAGGTCCTAAGAGAAAAATACTTCTATAACAAATCTCCTTAGTTTTTCTATTCTAGCTTTCGTACTTAATTAAAAATATTTTCTCTTACTCTTTATATCTATATAGGATTATTCGAAATTATTATCGAAATTTCAATTTCTTATAAATAATGCATTTAATATTTATACTGAAGGATAGCAAGTTTTGATTTATTTTGAGCCATTTGCTATTTAGTAACTTATGTACTTAAAGTCTTGTATATATCGTATTGGTCGAAATATTCAATGTGATTTAATTTTTTCTCAATCTAAAATCTCAAAGTGGTTTATATCATCATGGACAAAGTTTAAGCTACTGAATGGCGACAGATTTGGAACAAAATTTCAAGGTTGCTATCTATAGATTTGTTCTTTTTAATTGAACTTCTGACTCGATTCATGTTTCTCCATGTTGAAAAAAAAAAAAGAGGAAAGATAAACCATGCAAAAAATTTAGCTAAATAGAATAGACCTCATATGGCCATAAATACTACAAAAAATTTATGGAGAAATACAAGCTTCAAGCTTATCGCGAAGTACAAAGCTGAAGTTAAGAATAACTTAAGGCAAGAAATATACGTCGAATAAGTTGAAATTTAGACAATCATTTTAAATAATCCAGTATATACGTAAAATTTAATATGAAAACTTGTATTTTTTATCCTATAAGCCACAGCATAGACTTTTGCATAACGCCAACACGATTTTTGTATAACGTATAAAGCTTAAAGCAAGAAAATTAATCAATCACAGTATGAAATAAAGAATTGTGATTGGTTGATTTTTAAATTTAAGCTAAGATTTTGTTATGTATTTTATGCAAAAGTCTGTAAACTGCGGTCTTACGTTCTTTTGCGTATTCCTACTCAGGTTCTTGCTTTGATTTCTTTTTTTTCTTTTTCTTTTTTTCGCCCGAAACTGGTTCCTCTACCTCTTCAGTAGATATTACTGTTTGTTGAATCTCTTCGTTTTCTTTTTCCTTTTTCTTCTTCTTTTTCTTCTTTTGCTCTGTAAAGAGAAATGATGAGTTCTTACTTGGACGGTTATCATTTATTATATATATTTTTTTATATCATATATATTATATTATATATATAATATTTAATAGTGTATATTGTGTTTACATTTTTTGTAATATTTTGCATTTTTATTTTTATAGTGTTACCTTCACTTGTTCCAGCTTCAACTGAAACATTTGCTTCAAATGTTTCCTCAGTTTTTACAGATGCTGCTTCAAATGTTTCCTCAATTTTTATAGATGCTGCCTCTTCAAATTCAATTGATCCCTTCTTTTTCTTCTTTTTTTTCTTCGATACGAGATCTGAATCCCCTTCAACTTGCGCTTCTTCTTTAATACTAGAATCTTCTACTATGTCTTCTGTTTTAAGTTCTAAGCTGTGTTTTTTCTTTTTCTTTGGACTAACAGGTTCAGTTTTCATTTGTGCAGCAGAAAATTCTTCTTGTTTTATATTCGATTCTAGACTATGTTTCTTCTTCTTCTTCGGCTCCATTTTCACTTGTTCCTCTTCTTTAACAGAGATTTCTACTGTATCTTCTGTTTTGAGTTCTAAGCTGTGTTTTTTCTTTTTCTTTGGAACGACGGGTTCTGTTTTTATTTGTATGCCAGAAAATTCTCCTTCTTCTATATTGTGTTCTATACTATGTTTCTTCTTTTTCTTCGGTGCAGTAGTCAACTCTGCTTTTATTTCTTCTTCCTTAATTTCCACTTCTTCCTCCTTAATTTCCAAATTCGTGCTATGTTTCTTTCTTTTCTTTTTAGGAACTTCCTCATTCTCCTTTGTTTCAATCTCTTCGATTAATGGCCTCTTTGGAGTCGTCAGTGTTGAGTCTACAGATATTGAATACTGCATGTATTCGTTCTTGACATGATATTTTTCAAATTTGGCCTTTGCTCTGGCAGTGCCACTTATTCGACGGATATTTCCTTCCTCAAGCACTCTTAATCTTGCCTCCAATTTCACTTTGTGTTCTGCACCAAGTTCAAAGCTTGTAGTATCTCCTAATGCATCAACTCTTGTTGCTAGAGAGGCTTTTGCTGCCAACATCCTGGATATTTTACCCTTATTTTTGTTTGAGGATTGTCCAACAAGTTGCGAATGATAGATCAAACCATACTTAGGTGTGTTCTTGTTCGTTTTGAGAGCACGGAACAATGCCTTTTCTGCGCCGAGAATTTGTAAAGTAGATGCCGGATGTTTGGCAAGATTTGTCAAAGAGCCGGCCTTAGATATCAAACGTGCACCAATCAGATCGCCAACAAGAACTGTCAGGTTTGGTGCTAATGCCATCATCCTAGTCTTCAGATAATCACACAGCTGGGACCGATATTGATGAAGCTCCAGTATTTCAACGCACAAGCTTTGCATGTGTTCAGCATCATATTCTGAGATCTCTGAGCCCATTGAGGTTTCCGCAGCCTCCTTCACTTTATCTTCAACTTCCTCTGTCAGAATATCTGACAGATCACATTTGATAGCGTTCTCTCGTTGACCGATTATGTGCATTGTTTTTATGTACTGAAAATTGTCAGTCACAATTTTGCCTAATTCAGGAAAGTGCCAGCCATACCATTCGCGCGCTCGCATTATGTAGTTATTGAGCTCTTTATCCAGATCATCTAACAAGCATACTGCCTGTATTACCATGGTATCAACCTTGTCAGGTGAGAATTTCAGTTTGTATCTGGAAAGACTGTGTGCCAGACCTAGTGTCATGGCTGTTCTCTCTTTCTCAGTCACTCCGCTTATCAGACTATCCAGTTGACTTCTAATACATCTCATCAACTCTTGCACTGCTGTGTTACTTACACAGGACAACTGCAGCTTATCCTTGATGGTACTGCCTAGTTTGGCATCAGCAACCGCTAGCTGTTCATGGGCTTCGATACAGCAGTTCCTAAGCGTTTTCTTCAAGGATTTGGATAACTTGCTGTTTACAAGCGCCGTAGCAGCGCATAATGCTTCGGTGGTATCTTCAAACTTATGAAAGTATGTTAGCTTAAGTCTGCAAAATAAAAAATATATAAAAATTCTGAATAAAATATGATAAGTGGCTACAGGAAATAACAGGTTTTTTTTTATTATTATATAAAACATATATATCATTTCAATTTAAATACCATAAAATGTGTACACCCACGGTAATTAATTCTGTCCCTCGGAAATTTTCACAAAATGAAAAGTGACCTCCTTTCTATATTAATTGTCATTACTCATGCACGATAAGGTTCAGTCGTAACGTTAATCGTGTATGGATTGTGACAATTAATATAGAAAGATGGTCATTTTTTATTTTGTGAAAATTTCCGAGGGACAGAATTAATTACCATGGGTGTACACTTGTTCAGTTATAAAAAGATAGATCTTAAGGGGGGAAATAGGTTTAGAGGCTTAAAAATTTCGGTTTTTTGGAACCATCATATATCAATAGTATAACTATTCAAGAATATGTCCCCAAAATTTCAAAGCGAAATTCGGAGTGCTTTCCAAATTATGAGCATTTTACCGAGCGCGCTCGAGTTTACTACCTGCCGCTGTGGCAGGCAGGAGAGACTGGTCGCTCGGTGGGGGGGGGGGGGGGAGACTTCTCGCATACGAGGAAGAAGAAGGGCTACTGTATGGCGCAGGAATCGGTGATTAAAAGGTACGAACTTCGTATAATACTTAAAAAGCCATAAACGTTCAGTTTTTTGTAACTTTTTTTCAAATGCGTTTTTCTCGAAACGACTTTTTTTCAGTTTTTGTGACATCTAGCTCAAAAAATAATGAACCAATCTTAAAAAACCGAATTGATTATTATTCATTATTCAATTGTCTTCTATATGAACCTCGAATCGGCATAAAAAATGAATTCTAAATGCATTTTTAAGGGCAGATAAGGGGAAAAAAAATGGTGAAAATCGACGGTTATTTTTTCAAACTTGCGTAATTTCTTCAATTTTCGATTTTTTTTCAGATTTCAGGTTCATATAGAAGAGAAACTTATAAGAAACGTAAATATTTTTGGTTTTTTGATTTTAGATAGAAATTACGACCTGTAGACGTCACAAAAGCGACACGTTTCTGCGGCGAACGTCCACGGGTCGCGGCTTATAACGACGCTATTTTACAAGATAAAGATTTTAAAAAAATTGGACATATACTTGGAAACATGTATAATATGATCTAATAGTTAGAATAAATTAAAAAAAAATTCCGCCCAAACAAAATTCGCAAAAAAACATGAAAATTTGGGCTTCTAAACCTATTTCCCCCTCCTTAAAGTTCTTGAAGAAAAAAACTTACAATCTGCTGGCGGCTTCAGGTGTCTGAAAGTCCTTATGAAGATTTTCTGATTGGGCGAGTTTGTTCTCGTCTAACACCTACAAATGAATTGTTATTTAAATCTCGTGATATTATCATCAAATCTTGTTGCATACGCAATACTCCTATAGGAATTAAATACTCCGATAGGAAATATAAAACAAAGTAGACACGTGCGTGATCTCTTAGGTTAGGAAGTCCAGTGTCTCTGACAAATTTAAACTTACCTTGAATATCGCGTAGCCCGCTGACGTCTCGAACAGCACCAACATAATTACTGCGTTATCTTCACGACTTAAAGTTCGTAACAATCAGTTTCATACAATTTTCATACCAACGAATGAATGCAACACCCACACCACATTCGAATTAATCCAAATCTAAACCCATACCCGGCCGGAACTCTGGAACTGTCTGGAAGACTGGAACATACCGAAATGTGCCGGAATCACGGGCTCCCATTTTCACGCATGCGCAGCGTCACGATGACGATACCATTAGGTTTGTTCTTTTTCGCTGCACTAGGGCCGGTATTCATAGTCAGTTCTTATTTGAAGACTGTCTTAAGTAATGGAGCAGAAAAAGCAGCTTTGCAACTGTTGTAAAATTCTTGAATATGATTGGCTTATACATTTAGAACTAATAAGGAAGTAAGGGAAGACCAATCATATTAAAGAATTGTACAACAGTTGCAAAGCTGCTTTCTCTGCTGAACGCAACCAATGTCTTAAGATGCTAAAGCGGCCCTCTGACTGGTTCGTAAGAGAGCCTACAGACCAGAGCGACGCAGCGGTGAAGCGGCGAGCGATAGCCAATGAGAGCCATGCTTTTGCGTAAAAGCATGGCTCTCATTGGCTATAGGTTGGATTATACTGGCCGTAATCTGTTAACTTATGCTGTAATCTGTAAAAATTGACCAATTATAATCGATTATTCCCCTCTCATTCGACTGTGATTGGTCAATTTTTACAGATTACGGCATAAGTTAACAGTTTACGGCCAGTATAAATCAACCTTATCGCTCGCCGCTTCACCGCTGCGCCGCTCTGGTCTGTAGGCTCCTTAACTCTTCAAGACTGAACTTAAGACGGCCTTGAATATAAGAACTGACTATGAATACCGGCCTAGGACTGCACTGGAACAGTACTAGTACAGGGCTGCGTTCAGAAATTACGCCTAGGTAACTCTAGGCCATGGTGGAAGTAAGGTGAACCATTGCGCATAATGGCGGAGACCCGAAATCTCAACCAATCAGAGATTGGGCAATTCGTCCGGCGCGAGTACAAAGTTCATAAAGATTGAGACATGAATTTGTAACAAGCAACATTGAAAATGTATAATAATTATGAAATTGTTTTATTATATGTAATAGGGTGCGGCCGAGTTGCCACTACGAATACTTCGAAGCATTTCTTGATTGGTTAATTTGTAAAATTCTTGTTTCTGATTGGTTAATCAAACGCTTCGAAGCATTCGTAGTGGCAACTCGACCGCACCCATAGAGTGGTATTATGTATATTAGATTGGATTACAATGTAGTGTTTGATTTGGGCTCATAGAGCAAGTACGAAATTAGTTCACTCAGCTAGATAACTGATGTGGAAGTTAATTTTACTTAGATGAGTTCCGAAAACGTTTGTAATTAATTGATATTGCTGAAGATGACTTAAAAAATAAAGTCGAAACGTATGTAAGAGAAGACTAATATTGAAAATTATTCGCAACCTTACATCCAGCGGTGGACTCCTATTGCCTCAAGGATATTGTGATTGTTATAAATAACATTATATTCCCTCTGAATTATCTTTCTTTTCTTATGCATTTGAGGAAAAAAGGTTTACATATAAGGAAACTTGTAAAGAACTTGTTCTATTCAATAATACATTTTCCAGGAAAAACAGGGTATCTACGGCTTTGGTCGGAGAAAATTCTTTGACATTCCCTGATTGTAAAAAAGTTCCTTGACTTTTTCGTAGTCCTTTCCTTTCCTATTTCTTCTCATAATTATTAAAGAATCTTTTCCAAGACAAAATGAATACTAAGTAAATATAATATTAATTAAGAACTTATATGTAATACAGTGATCTTCATTAGAATAAAAAATTTAGAAAATATAATGTTTTTTATAGTCGATAATATTCACAATGAACGTGTTTTTGAAGTATGTTTACAGGCTTCCAGCCACTGCTTCCTCAATTCCGGCTTTTTGGGGAAAGAAAACATATTTATTTTCTCTTTGCCGCGACCACACTCTTATTTCTACAATTGATGATGACACAGCACGTCGGCATAATGCAATCGAAATTGCGCATCCACCGGAATGGTTCACCTTGTATACTTCCACCATGGTCTATGGCATGACTGTATACTTGTATCTCTACGACTGTTTTTAATACGATTTTCATTTGTGACGTGATCTGGGGGTCAATCACGTACCTTTTCCTCTAGGACGGAAACGTGAAAAGTGAAAATTTTTTGCATGATGTGTATATATGTTCATACATACATTCATAAAAGTTTTCACTTTTCACGTTTCCGCCCTAGAGAAAAAGTTGGTGTAATAAGTACCATTGCGCATAATGGCGGAGGTTTGTAATCTTGACCAATCAGAGTTGTACTATTTTGCGGCGCGAACTATCGATATATTTGAAAATTAAAGAGAGGAATAAGAAAGTGTAATAATTTTTAAAGGGGAATCATAGTAATTTTTCATTAAAAAATCGACTTTCTTGTTGTTTAAAATACTCTGATGTAGATATAGAAAATTAATGGCTATGCAAAGAATAACTCATGAGTAATTCGATCTTTCTAAATTAATTTGGCACAAATTCGATAAAAACTCAGAAGCTGCTTACATTCAAATACATTTAAATTTAGAAAAATCGTTTTGGCTCCCCTTAATCACTTTAGTCCCCTTTATCCCCCCTAATAAAAATACATATAAGGCGATTTTTGACGTACTTCTGGTATCAACCAAAAGCAATCGCGACTAAGGCTATCTGAAAAAATATACGGTAATATTAAAGCTACTATTAAAGCTATTCGCGCTTACGCTCTCTCGCTCGCTCTCTCGCTCTCTCATTAGCACACACGCTCTCTTGCTCGCACTCTCACTCTCTTGTTCGCTCCCTCGCTCTCTTACTCGCACTTACGCTCTCTCGCACACTCTCTCAAGCTCTCTCTCGCTTTTTCGCTCTCCTTCTTGCAATTTCTCGCTCTCTCAATTGCACTAACCCTCATATTCTATAAACTGTCACTTTTTTCCATTAAAAAAGCATATTACGTCCAAATAGTCTAAATATAATTTTAAAAATCCAATTCAATTCAAAATCGATTTGTTTTTATTAAACAACACAAGGCATCAAAAGCACTCATCGCTCTCTAAGCGGCCATATTGAATTTCTGCAAAATAGTCACATACCCTCTGATTGGTTCGTAATTCCTCAAGACTGAACTTAAGACGGTCTTGAATATAAGAACTGACTATAAATACCGGCCATAGATATCAGAGAAGCACAACCGATGTTCCGCGTCCTGACTGGCTGATGACTGTCAGTCAATCATGACATTCATTCATTGATATTAAAAATGGCTGACTAATAGACGATTGGTGGATTTCATATTTCGTCTGCAAACGACGCCATTTTTAATACTTTTCTTAGTAATTTTGCGATACTGACTTAAGCCGATTGCGCTTCTCTGATATCTAGGACTCTACACCTTACTTATTACACCATGGACCTACCCATGGTAGAAATACAAGGGTATTCTCATGCCGTGGACGAATTTAGAACTCTACTGCGCATCAGCTTGATGACGTCACATTCGTGTTAACTCGGTACTTTTCGGAGCGCTTCGATTCGATAAAAGCTATGGCTGCCTTCTGCTACATGCGTGTA